AAAAAAAAAAAAAAAAAACAATAAATATCACCTTATAAGTTATAACAATATGGGAATTCTTCAAAACGATTTGTAATGTCGTAAGATAATTAGAGGATCTTAAACTCATAATTCTATCATGTAACTTTAACGAGAGTTAATGTCAACATATTCAAACGGCAGACAGACAAGATAAATTTTGGTCGAATAAAATAAATATAGTAAAGGTGCAAAATTATAGTTGTGTGAAATAAGAATATCAACCGTCACCATGTCAAATAACGATTCAGACACGTAAGCATCTGAGTTCGCTTTAAGTGGTTTCATGCATGAGTTTTCTAATATCGAAAAGTCGTTAGTTGGTTGCATGCTTCGATTAATATATTTAATTTGGAATTTATCCTCATTTTTTTCATTTGTTATTCCGCAATTAAAATTATCATTTGTATTTCTATGCATTTTTTTAGAAATAATTGCTTTTTTAAGGGGAAAAAACATACAAAAATCATCAAATTTAATTGAATAAACCTCTCTAATACCTACATATGATTTTTTTTTAAAAAAAAAAAGGAAGCAAGTGGGTTTGAAGTTAATTAATCACTATTTGTTGGTCAATCATATAATTTATCTTATTTTGACCATATGAAATGGTGGGGAGAAAAAAAATGATAAAAAGATGGGTATGAAAATGTCCATTTCAAAAAGAATTTCATAGGGGGTGTCTATATGTACACCCCTATGTGTAAAAAAGGGGTGTACATATAGCATTGTCCTTTGTGTAATTTATTAAAAAGGGGTGTACATATAACATTGCCCATTTCATATCATTAACTTTATTATAGTATTGAAATAAAACTTTTTTGTCCACTTTTAGGTCGGGGAATAATCATATTTTTTTGACCATATAATGTCACTACATTGCCTATACAATATAATATTATTGGTCCCTTCACAAATATCAGTATTACTCTTTAATATAATAGTAAATTTGAATTAATTTAATTTTTTCAATTTCATTTTTTTTTTGTTGGAATAGTGTAGTATCATTTTAAATTGTGTATTTTCTCTATAATCAAGTAGTCTAATTAGTAATTACTTCGCCTTATATTTGTATTATTTGTAGTGCCAATCATTGTCACTCAATTTGAAGAATTTTAAAATACTCAATTTCACAAGATAATAATATAAAAAATTCCAAAAAAGAAGAGATAAACTCTTGATCAGATAAATCTTATCTCGAATCAATTGACCATACAAAGAATATCATGTTCTGATTTATATTTTGACATGATTATGACTAACAGTTTATATCTTCAGAATTTATACTACAAAGCTTACAATTTTCAGCATATAAGCTTCTGATTTTCTGTCAAACTCATGAAGTATACCAGCAAATGGACTTGACAAAAAGCTGCCCAATATTAGCTTATCCTTGTATAGACAATGCATTAAAAGTTAAAACCAAATTAAATTGCAAATGCACAAAGCATTAATTAGTCAGTTCCCCTGTGGATCCGGAAACCGGAAGGTCCTTGTACCAAAAAAAAATTAAAATAATTTTTTTTTGTAAAACACGTCCAATGCTAAGCCCTACAATGAAATTTCCCCTTCCGAGCTTGAAACTCAACTACACAAACCCTTGTACAAGTATTCTTTAAAACTTGTATGATGGTATTTTCCATCTATGGCATGCACTTCCGCTAGCTAGGCCTGTAAACAAGTCGAGCCTAGCTGAGCTCGAGCCCTTAACGAGCTGAGCCATAAATATCGAGCTAGAGCACGACTCGTTTATCACTATTAACGAATCGTGTCAGACTCGTTTAATTATTTTTTTTCGGTACAATGAAGGGGGCGAAAGCCTAGGAAACTATATTGCGGGGATAGGAGATCCCTAAGATGTCGTGTTCCAACCACGGTTTAACCCCCGTGGGTGGGTCATCAAGGACATGGAGTCCACATGGCATGGACGAGGCCAACGACACAAGGTAATCGGCTGCAAAGTTTTCTTCTCGATGGATATGGCGGACCTCAACTTTCCACTCCCTTGCCAACAAGTCCCGAATTCCTAAAATGATGCTACTATGAATCCCGGTCGGTATCTCTTCAGAGGTTTGCATTACACACTACTATTATCAACCTCAGCTTCGATCATCCGGTGTCCCTTCTCCCAAGCCAAATTTAACCCATGGAATAAACCCCACAACTCTGCACCCATGATTGAACAGAACCCAATGTTCAACACGAAGCCGGATTTCCATCTGCCCCATTCATCTCGAATTAAGCCTCCTGCCCAAGCCATGCCCGTTTGCTTGTTAAAAGCCCCATCCGAGTTTATTTTCACAAAACCCATTAATCTCGAATTAAGACTCGTTTAATTTAATAACACTAGTTTCCACAACCACCTCCAGTTCGAACACAATATCAACAAATAGTTCCTATAAACCTGATAATGATTTAAATTACTCTATTACCAAACCCAAACCATCAAGGAGAAGCATACCTTGCATAAATGAACATAAAGTCGAAGTCATAAAGGCTGAATAATATGTAAATAGTAACTACGACGACTGAAGTTTTCTTTATTTCCATCAAGATCCTCGGTTTTCTTTTTTCTATTTTCTTTTTTCTAGGTTGTTTTTAGCGTCAGGTTCAAAGTGCTACTCGGACCGTTCTTGATTTCCTCCCCACGGGCAGCCAAAAAGTCCTCCACACTAACACTATCAGGCTCCCCAAACAATCCTAATCGATCAGCAATAACATGCAAATTGTCACAGGCATCACACTTGGCAATAACCACTCCCTCCTTGTATGAATCGCTAGCCATGGTCTTCATCGATCGTGCCTCGCAAAATTTGCACGAGATCAGTATGTTATAATCGTGTTTTTCGGACACCTTCAGGTTGGAATTCATGTCAAGGTTTATGGAGGTGTTCGAGCTGGGAATTTTTAGCGTCAGGTTCACAGTGCTACTCGGACCGTTCTTGATTTCCTCCCCACGGGCAGCCAAAAAGTCCTCCACACTAACACTATCAGGCTCCCCAAACAATCCTAATCGATCAGCAATAACGTGCAAATTGTCACAGGCATCACACTTGGCAATAACCACTCCCTCCTTGTATGAATCGCTAGCCATGGTCTTCATCGATCGTGCCTCGCAAAATTTGCACGAGATCAGTATGCTATAATCGTGTTTTTCGGACACCTTCAGGTTGGAATTCATGTCAAGGTTTATGGAGGTGTTCAAGCTGGGAATTTCATGTTTGGCCTGAATTGCAGTGGGTTGATTGTGAGCTTTGGTGCTGATGCTTAAGCCTCGAGTGTACGGTGTATATCTGCTGAAGAAAAAGCTCGGAGAAAGACGCAAATTCCAGGAGAGTTCTGCAGGAAGAACTGATTATATAAAGTTCACATAAGAACCCAAAAGCATTTTCTTGAAAAATGAGGCCTGTTTTTCCATTTTTTGTATTAAATTATGTTGTTTGATAACCAAATACATAATTAAGAATAAAATTGTTCCGAATCCATGCAATTATTCACCATGGTAAAGAGCAATGAGGAATCTCGGTAATCAATTCAATCCTTCTCATGAACAAGACACCAACTTGCCCAGATTAGAATAAAGGTTACTCTATTTCCTAAATAATTGTGTGATTATGAATTTCTTAGTCGCAAATTCCACATATCAATACAGGCTATGTTTGGTAGACAAATAAACTAATTTATAGTTTATTTGGTTAGCTTATAAGCTTGCTTTAGTGAAATAAGCTTCGTTTGGTAGGATGAGCTTTTATAAAAAGCTCGAGCTTATCTCATAAACTTCTTTGATTAGCTATTCAAATAAGCTAGCTGAAGATGAATATCAACATAAGACTAAAACGTTGCAGTCCGAGAATCACTCAAAAGAACATAAATCGTGAGTGAGTGCTTCTCATAACGCTAAGGATTTTTTACTCTTAAGAGCTAAACAAATTCCTTTTCTCCATTCCCTAAGGTTATAAATCTAGTCGAAAAATTCAATAACATTCTTCTTGTCGCGGTTAAGTAATTAATATTCCAATTAAAGCATGAAAAGATACTCTTTTGCCAAACATAGGGAAAGAAAGAAAGCAACAATTTCAACAATAAGGATTCTCATACCATGTTCAAAGATCGATATCTTTTATACTTTCATTCACCGGCCATCTCCAAACGGTGATGGTAACAGCATTTCCAAACATTACATAACAATATGAACAAAATATAAAGATCGATATCTTTTATACTTCCATTCATCAGCCATCTCCAAACGGTGATGGTAACAGCATTTCCAAACATTACATAACAATATGAACAAAATATAAAGATCGATATCTTTTATACTTTGTTTCATAAGCCATCTCAAAACGGTGATGGTAACAGCATTTCCGAACATTACATAGCAATACGAACAAAATATAAGAATATATTTTTTCCCATTTCCTCCTAAATGCTTGCTATCTAGCTCACCAGAGCATTCTCTATAATTCTTTCTACACTCGAACGAAAAAGTCGAAGAGGCCAAATCCCAACTAATCGAACGAGAACCATATAACTACTAGAGGACAAGGCTATATAACTCCATAACTTATACCTCTCTTTTAAGAATTTATCCATCTCAAAACCCTAATTACCAAAAAACAGAATTACACGACATAAACGACTTAATCGAAAGCCAACAGTTTAATCCCTCCTAAACATATCACCGATCAGTGCTCATAAACCAAGCTTTCGATTCCCACACAAACTAACACATAAAAAACGAAGTGTAGATATGTATACATGTATGCTTAGCCGGAGTTACCTCTAGTAAGGGGGTTTGCGGGGATTCTCTCGGCCAGTAGAGAACAATTTCCGATGGCCGCCATACTTGCTTTGCTGTGGTTTATTTATCCTTTTTATCGCGCAGAAGATAAATTTCAAAGAGTTGCAGAAGAAGCAGGCATCTGCAGACGAACAAGTATTATATTGTCTGGTACACAAATTTACTCATTATTACCAAATTCACCCCTCTGTTTTTGTGTTGTGTAAATGGACCAAAGCCCGTAGTAGGCCCATTTAAAGCCCAAAAACCTAGGATTATATCCACTATTTTCTGACCCAATCGTGATCGTTGGATCTCTAACAGTTTGATTTGAAAATTTTGACCATCGGAGATATCGGCGAGATATCGGCCTGTCAGTTTCGGTCACGGGCCGGAACCGATAAAAATTTCATTTTTATAATATGAAATTTTCAAATAAAAAAGGAGTCGAATCGCCGAGCCGGTGGGTTTTTTTAATTAAGTGAACCGGGACCGAACGGACCAAATGACGAGTCAATTTGTTGGCCCGTGGCCAACGGTTCGAGCTGGTTTAGAAATCGTTGAACTTAGGCCAATTCCTAAACTGCTGGCCATGGGTCAATTCGGACCGGTTCAAAACCATGAACACGTCTTGTTCGGTCTGGCCAATTTCAATACTCATATCTTTCCCATTTATGAATTTGGTCAGGCTTGACCTGGCCGGTTATGAAAATGTGGCGGGCTAGGTCTACCCCAAAGGCATAGGGGCGGGGTGGGCAACGACAGATCCGAGCCAAATTTTCATCTTTGCTAGCACTTGGTCATATGGCAAGTCCCTTGTTTCTCATAGACTAATTTTATCTCTACAAATTCGATATTTTTCTTTTTGAAAATGTTGTTGGTGCGTGTTCATTGTAGATTGGGTATCTAAATTTATTTACTAATCAATTTCATATTTAATCATCTAAATAAAGTTGACGCTATCACAATCTAGTACTTGATATTTTAATTATTTGGTCTCTTGAAAAACGACCTTGCTTGTCACATACTACGAGCGAAGTCGTACACTTACTACCGAGACTTAAATATATAGGCAAAGACTCAGTGCATCATGAGTAGAACTATTAATCGGGAACGCGATGCCATTCGGTTTAATCTTAATACGTTTTAAGCCACAAATTTATTTTTCCCGTTTGGATGAAAACAAGTCATATTGTGATGGATGTACTTTAAAATTAAACTACGTAATTGCTTTGGGTTTGATTGTATACGAATTAATTTTCTCAAAATGAGTTATTTTGGTTAATAATAGTTATTTTTTATAAAATAATGGTATAGTTAGTTGTTAGTAGAATTTTAAGAATGCATTAAGTAATATTTAAAAAAAAAATGATTAAAATTGATTTGATGTAAAAGTATGAGTAAATGATTGGAAATAATAGATAGTTAAAATTATGTGAGTGAATGAATAGTTGATTTATTTTATTTAACTATATAAATAATATTAAAAATAGTGAAGTTAGATTAAAGTTGAGTTAAATTTTGAGTATTAAATAAAATTGAGTAAATTATTTCATAAACAATCAAGCCCTTGAGGATGCTAAACCAGCTAGGTGTGAGCAAAATCGAGCTGAATCAGTGCAGTTTGTTTAAGTTATTTTAATGTAAAAAAAAATGAGTTCGATTTTGGTTCCCTTTTTTATTGTGTTGTCGTGCGATGCAGTCTTTTTCACAAATTCAGTGTTTGGGCTTTCGAGGTTTGTTAGGGTTTTGCACGAACCAAACCTAAATGCATAGAAAATAATCGAAAAACAAGCGGAAACAAGCTATTTGGTTCGGTTTAGTTAATTTTATTGTAGTAATTTGTAAGTTCGATTTCGATTACATTTTTATCTGTTACGAAACTAAGTACAAGCAAAAAGCTCAATAAAATAACAAATATTTTTAAAACGTTAAATATTTGATGTGTGGATAACTTTACCCAATCAGTATCAGCAGAATTTATAATCGTCAGATCGACATACATACAAATGTTTGCGCGTGCAATTCGATGGCTCGGATTCGATACTCGATCCTATCGATCAAGAAGTCCACATATCATCATAACCTTATGAAAGGACTGAATAATTAATAAAGCCACTCCAAATCAGATGCTATTTTTCAGTGTTATGCCTAATATTTGTGTAAGGAGACATTGATTGGGCCCTCGTTTTCCTCTTTTGAAGGAACCTCTGAAGTGATCTTTTTAGTGTTGGGCTAGAAATGGGTGAATTGGGCGTCGGCAAAGGATATGGGCTAAATTCAAGCCCACTGTTTGATTTCTTTTCCGTTTCTTTACTTGCAAGAGATATAATTGTCCTGGCCTGCATTAATAAAATAAAATAAATAAATATATTACACAATAAAAAATTATTTATCTTTATAATATGTAATGTGTTAATACCCAATTTTGGCCTCGCCTACTAAAATATTACACGTGGATATGTATTAAATCAATTGTTTTATTTTAGGACTCAAAAATAACACCGCTTATAATAATAACGGGCCAAAAAAACATATATATATATATATGTATGTATATATATATATATATCTCCGATGATATACACAGACAGATAAGTGTGAGGGGGCTATTATTACTTTTCTCTTCCTAATCCTCATTTTTTTTTCCCGAAAACTCATTTACATATATTGAGCTTCTTCTTCAATTTCTCTTTATGGATTTACACAAAAATAACATACAAAGTTCAAGAAATTCGACATATTCGATATGTACAAACAATTCTGAATACCCCATGTTGATCAAAATTCACATATGAACATAACGTAACAACACTACAAATATATTATGCAACAAAATTCAAAAGAAATAATTATATTTGATCCATTTGAAAATTGTACTATTTGTGAGTTATATATATACCTGAAGCTCTGTGGCGTCACAGGAAGCAACTCTTCCATTGTAGAAAATAGTCAACGGCATCGTGATCTCGTTTGGGCTCTCCATATCAAACCTAATAATCAATCACAGCCGATTTCAATGAAATATAGTCATTTTGTCATGTGAAACGACACAATTACCTTTACTATCAGAAATTGAATCGTAGGAATCTAGGACTGCATAAATGGTTTCTGGATTTTTCTAATTAAAATATGAAGAACCTTAACTAATTTTAATATCAATCCCACTTATTTTTCGTAGTTTTGTTTTTTTTGTTTTTTTTTTTTTTTTTTTTTTTTAATTAAACACGTTTTTTTTATTTATTATTTTTATCTTTAATTTGGTGTTCAACTTGTTCATAATGAAATATGGATTGTTTAATAGTCTAGCATGTAATGATGCCGAAATTTAGACTCTTGCTTTTGCTTTGGCGAGTGTAACGATATTAATGAGATCGTAATCTCAAGAACATCTAAGAACGATATCAAATTCTTATATCATAATCAACTTCAATTGAAGAACACAAAAGTGGAGAAGTCCTTTAAATAAGGCTCATAAAGCATACTCCTAACTTGTCCAACAGGACAAGATCTCTTACTAAATATTCTCTTATCAGTAATAAGAATAATAATTATTCTCTTACCAATTAAATACTAAAAATAAAAGGAATAATAATAAAAAAGACCAATAATAATAAAAAATAAATATAGATTGTAAATTAATGATGCTAGACGATATCTCGTTTGCATCATTCTCCTCAGAGAGGATTCGCCCTCGAATCCGCACATCGCGTCGTCATCCGTGTTCGATACACAACGCCGATCTCAAATGGAACCGGCCTCCGCCTATCGACAATATTTGTCAACAAGACATGTGGGAACATAGCTGAGTCCCAGTTAAGCTTTTTGACGGGCCACGTGTCTGAACCCTCCGTTTTCGCCCACAGAATGTGCCAAAAACAACATATCCAGAACATGTGAGCTAAGGTTTCTGTTAGGGTGCGGACCAATCGAACACTAAATTCTTACAACAGCTGAATTCGATACCCGGAACATTATGTAATTTCTCCGGCCCCAGAAGCTCCTCATCGGAAATTGGTGGACTCTCGTAGAATGGCCCGCCAACTTGCTCTCCGTCGAATTCGGGGATGTTAACGCGAAACGGGCCCTCACATACACCATATTCGCTATTACATTCCCTGTGCAAACGCCCAATTCTCCAGATCCATGACAGACCAAAAAAAAAAGTGCCTGAAGTCCGGATCGTGTCATTGCCGATCGAACATCGCGAAGTCGACGCTATCACATTCAAGTCTCCAATTGTGTCGGGCACAATATCCGCTGGCGGTAGCCTCCTGGCGCTTGCCTCTGTCGTCGCGTTGATCGTCACCGTTCACCGGGCCGTATCGCCGCATATCATGGCCACCGTATGCAGTGAAGTGCTCAGCCTCGTCGTGCAGAGGTTGATAATTGCCAAAGGGGTTCACCTATGAGATTGTCTCTTCGCCATCTTCGTCATTGGACGTTGGTTGTAGAGATATCCGGCGGGCACCCCGCTTGGAACACGTCCTCCGCGAACTCCCCGTGCACGCCCCGGTTGCCTCATAGTTTGTCTGCAAATCCTCAACCATGTTGTTTGATTGTAAGACTCACTTCTCTGATCCTCGTTGAAAGATCCTCAACTTAACGATCCAATTGATTGATCTGGCGGCCGAAGCCCGTGGCTTGTCAACCAGGATGCTCAATGGTGGCGTCACGCCGTTCGACGTCGTCTATTCGGGGCGACATCTTAAATTGTACGTGCTGACTTCTGATACCAACTAATGTACCGAAACGTACGAGTAAGATGATATTAATAAGCTTGCAATCTCAAGAACACCTAAACACGATATCAAATCTTAATTCATAATCAACTTCAACTGAAGAACACAAAAGATGAGTCATTTAAAACTCTACTCCTAACTTGTTCAACAAGACAAAATCTCTTACTAAATATTCTAATACCAATAATAAAAGTAATAACTATTCGCTTACCAATTAAATATAAAACATAAAATGAATAATAATAATAATAATAATAATAATAATAATAATAATAATAATAATAATATTAATAATACTAATAATAATAATAAAAGTACCAATAATAATAGATCTATTTAATTAATGATACGTGGTTCAACCAGATTTACAACATGTTTTATCAATTGTAATAAGTATTTATTAAATTTTATTGTTATAATATAAACTAGTACGACGCCCATCTATTACATGGGTGCTTGCTAATTTTTTCTTAAAATCTAAAATTAATGAGAAAAAGTAGTTGAAAATTTAAATATCTTTTATAAATATA